TCAAGGTATAAAAGGTTCTGAATCAACATCTAAAAGTATCTGATACAAGATCTAAAAGTATCTGAATCAACATCTAAAAGATCTGATTCAAGATCTAAAAGTATCTGGTTGAAACGGATCCATGTTCTCTAAATCTGGATTTCTGAGTTCTCATTTCTCCATCCTCCTAAAAAGTTAAAGAAATAAATATTGAGACAGTAAAATAGTAAAATGTACTTTACTGTTCGGTACAGCACTTTACCGTACGAAATTTTACTGTACAGCACTGTACTATACTGTACTGTACTGTATTGTACTGTACTGCACGGTATTGTACTGTACTGTACGGTACGATACTGTACTATATTGTACTGTACTGTAATGTATTGTAAAGTATTTACTGTACTGTACTGTATTTTACAATATTGTACAGTATTGTACTGTACTGTATTGTACAGTATTGTACTGTACTGTACTGCACAGCTAGTGGTGTTAATCATTTTGATTCGTATATTTTAAATATTTAATAAAACCAAGATTTAAATCTATATTAAATTCTATCAAGCTTTCCTTAAAAAATGGAAAAATGATCTAAAAAGTCGAATTAAATCAAGTTTCTTTTTGATTGTTTTTGGTTATTTTTTTTGGCATATATTTTATGTCAGCCTGTTAGGGTCAAAATTTTTCATAGTGTATGATAAGCAAATATTTAAGCAATCTTAAAAACATCTATTCTTTTTGGAAACCTGACAAATTTTGACCTGGAAAGGAAATATAGGCAAAACCAAATCAAAAACAAACTTGAAGCACATCACTATATACAGTGAAACCCTTAATAACGAAAACATCGGAAGAATTTATCAAATGTCGTCTTGACAATTTTTCAATGAATTTTATACTACAGGGTGTCCCAAAAACATGGGAATTCAGTGACGAATTCGATATCGTCTTTTCAAATAATTCTTCGATTTTGTATAGTGATACCTACTGAGAAAGCTGTAATCTGTCAAAGTGGTTAAATACTAAAGTGGACCAAACTCCTAGTTGGATGGCGACATTTTATGTCCCAAGTATTTAAAAATATTATTTATATATATATATATATAAATTGGTCTGTACAGAGTGCACAGTACAATAGAAACTGGACTCCCTTTGTTTACAAACACAAACTTAGAATTTGTATTTAACCTAAATATAAATCAACGTAAAATTAAGATTTCAGAAGTGAATTTTAGCCATTTTACTGCACAACAAATAATTTCAGACAGCATAACAATGCCTGAATGCATAATCTGTAAAACAAGGAATGTACAATTTGTGAAAATAAAGATCTTTGAAACATATCTTTTGGTTTTCACTTTTGTATTTTGACAGATGTAAGAGTGGTTGAGAACTAAGACATACAGGGTGTCCCACGGAACGTGACATTTAATAAATNTCCAGGTGTCCAACGGAACGTGACATTTAATAAATCGTTATTTATAGTCAAAAATATCTTTTGCTTCATTATCTTTTACGTTAAAATCAAGTTTAATATAACACGACTCCCATATAATATTTTTATTGATCTTTGGTATCAAACAACTTGACAAATTATGGAAAAAGACATTCTAAACTATTTACCAACTGTCATGTTTCGTGAGACACCCTGTATGCAAAGATTGTAAGAGAGGCGTATATAGGTTTTCTTCCCAGGAAGGGCTTACATTTCTTTTTCTTTTAAGAGGGGGGGGGGAAATTAGAAGTGCCATGCAAAATCAATGTACTGATTAAGCGACTGTTATAGTATTTACATATAAACCACATACAAACATACAAAATTTTTAGATTTTTAAATATGAAAATGTCGAAGTTCTAACTGAAGACGATATTTACATGGGTCTTTAGTCTATTTTTTCTAGTCTTTACTTTCCATTAGAAATATTTTCATGCAATTATTTCCAAACCAAATAAAACCTTATGGCCCAACCTGTCGTCGTTGCCTTAGTCTGTTCCACTTTAGTATTTATTCACTTTGGTTCTGCCCCTGAATGTGTATACGGTGTTCTGTTGGAGTGCGCTCTGGAAAGTTCTGAAAAAGTCTAGTATAAGGAAAGGTTATAGCAAGGAACTATATACTGGGTTATGGTATATAGTAGAGATGTCAACGTTTTTATTTTTCTAGATTTTAGCTTTCGTTACGATAGTGTTCATCAAAAGTATTAACGTTTGAAACGTTAGGTTGCACATTATGAAATTGTATGGCATAGAGTAACGTTACGTAATGAATTTTCTGCACTTGAATATCTTAGACTACGTTAAGCTTTAGTAAATGTTAGTGAAAAAACAGTAAGCTCCGTTACGCTTTTGCATTTCCCGTTTTAAAAAACTTTCCCAACGTTGTGTTAAAGCTTTAGTAATATAACCACAATTTTTTAACGTTCCACTTTCATGCAAGGTAAATGTTTTCAGAGACCTTGTTACATTTCCACTTGGCTTGAAAACTAAAAGGTGACAAACGTTTTGATTTAATAAAACGTCATTTAGGCATAGTTCTGCACGTTGCAATGCATTTCAGTGCAAAGAATATTTTTTGTTAACGTTACGTTTTATTTTAACTTTTCAAATATAAACTCTTTTAATTAGGTTTAGAAATTTTACTAAAATGCAACTTTTCTTACGTTACGATTTATCGAAACGTAATTGTGAAAACTTGTGTGTTACACTTTTTTACAACTGACAATCAAAACTCTTTATTCGTTTCGTTTCTATGAAAGATTTGAAAAAATGTTCTATACGTTGTGTTGTATTAAATGTTCAAGCCTTAACGTTTCTTACATTACGCATCATTAACATAATATTGTTTCTAAATTAAAGCATTGCAAGATTTTTTCCGTAAGAATTACATTCCTACTTTAGTATTTTTCATCCTAAAACATGAACCATGCAAAAAAATGTGTTGTTAATCCCTTTTTTACTCACCAGCTTCAATGTTGCTGTTGTATTGTTTACCTTTTTAGAGAATATGCAATATGCAATATAAAGATGTTATAATACTATTATTTTTAACGGGTTTTAAAATTTATGAATGAAAGTTTTTAGCAATAGTTTTTCAACTCAAGGGTGTGTCTCAAAGGGACTAGAGACTAATTTCAAGCAACCTTCCATTTATGGAGTGGCATGTCCAGCATACATTTACAAGATAGGAAAAAGCTGGTAATCATCAATCAGATAAAGGTATACACGTTTCCATAGGATCAAATGAAACTATCATCGTGTATTTGACGAGCTTAAATATAGAGATGTTTTGGGACAAAATGAGTTAAAATTCGGCAAGGCAAACCACTTTGGCATATGGAACAGTAGTTCCTAAATTATTTTACGTTAATTTAGGGTTAATCTTTTCTTTTTTTACTCAATGCAAACTGACCCTCCGGTGGATATTCTTCTATCTAACAGAAGTCATATTTGAAATATGAAAAGTCTACAACACCAGCTTGCACAGATGTAGAGATTAGAAAATTATAACTTGTGGCGAATTTTTAGTTCTTTTTGTGTTTTTTTTTTATGTTACTTACAAAGTGAGTAAAAATGCGGCATTAGTTTACAAACTACAATAAAAATGTTTTCAGGATTCATGTTTGGGGTTAAAAAATATCAAACAAAGTAAGACAAATGCTATTTTTTTTAACACAAACAAAATAAGATAAAATATTTTTTCTTTGTTTAACAAATCGATTAAAAAATCAGTTTTTTATTCTATTCTAAAGTTTAATAAAAATCTATTGATGAATATAACAAAACACGCATTTTCCAATTGATCAAATAGTTTTGCATTTTTGTAAGTATCTACATTTCTAAATTTGTCAACCTAAAACATGAACCATGCCAACTGAAGTTATGATTTCAATTAGTCAAATAAACATGTTCATGGCCGGACAATGCATATGTAAAATTTCTTAAATGTCGTCTTCCTTTTCCAGAGTTTTAGTGGGATTCATTAAGTGATGGCAAATCAAAAACCTTTAATGTCCAAGAAAAATTTTCAAGATTTGAATTTTCACTAATAGCATGTTACAAAAAACTCGTTTACACTTTAGAAAGGATCTAAGTTTATTTTTAAAATATACTAATCCCTGTATCTCTCCAACCTGATGGTTTAAACCTTGTATATTTCAATAGTAATGGTCTATGACATCGAGTTTTATAGATATAGTAAATAAAAATTAGAGTTTGTGGCATAAACTCATTTCCTTTAAATTTGAAATGAAAAACCATTAGTCTTTGCTGTCATAATCATCAGTCTAATATCTTACATTGATAGATTAGAGGTGTTTTGAATGTTTTGATTGGCAGAATTATTGTTACACTTTGAAATTAAAACTCAGCCCTCATAGCCTAACGTTTTATGAACAACATTTTCATCAGACATATATCTAAAGTTAGATTAATCAATTTAGTATTCAGAGAAAAGTTATGAAACGTTTTGATTTAAAGAATTACATTTTTTTAAATATTATACGTTACACTCACGTTTTATACTCTGTAAAAAAACTTCGTTTCCTGATTATTAAAATAATGACCCATTTCTGAAACGTTGAATTTTTTCATTACACTATAAGGGAATACGTTTCAAAATGCTTTCATAAACAGTAATGCATTTTTCAGCTATACAACGTTACACTTTTTATAAGTTGAATCGTTACGATATTCAATCAAATCATACTTAATTTTTCAAACATTAGGTTTTTCAGCTCCCCATGGAAACAAAACATTTCTTCACGTTATGGTCAAAAAAATTGTAGATATTAGAAAAATAATGATACATTACCACAAAACGCTAACGTTGGGGGTATGTTCCTCTAAGGTTAATGCTTAACGTTAACGTTAGGTATGAGCTCCGATAACATTAACATTTAACGTTAAGGTTAGGTATGAGCTCATATAACGTTAATGTTTAATTTTCATGTTTTGTAGATTATATCCAAACGTTCCACGATCTGAGACTTAGTGCTGGTTCCAATCAGACCCCAGAGCAGATTATGATTAGGTTAAAACTTTAAGATATTTTAAACAGGCCAGATTTGGTTGCAAAACATTCACAATTGATAAAAAAAATATTGTAAAACTTTTATTATTGATTTCTAGCTTCAATTCGGTTTTTGTTTGCTATTTTTAATGCTAAATTTGCACATAAATGTATATTCTTTTAAAGTATTACTTCTGACTATGTCACAATAGTACCAAGTACAGATAGCAAAGAGTGTACTCTATGCTGATGTAATAAGTACTACTGAGTATGTCACAATAGTACCAAGTACAGATAGCAAAGTAGACTTCTCAATCAGAAAGAATTCACACCCAGAAAATGTTTCCTAAAGAAATTCAGGATGAACTTTGTTATAAGCAACTGGCCTCAAGAAAAAGTTTTTCAAAAAAGAAAGGGTCTGGTAATACGGTTACAAAACTTGCTAATGAACAAAAAAAGAGTTTAACAAACAATCAGAATGTCAAGAGTAGAACACAGGTACTTTCAACTTTATTTCAATGTTTAGCAACTCTATTTACTAACTTTTAAAAATAGATCTAGTTCTAACCTCTTGTTGAATCTCCAGAATGAGGAGTAAGTAATCCATCTTAACTTCAGTTGTCTCCATGCTGCATGCAGTCCTGTAATAACATTGTATGAACAGGTACAGCGCACTCATTGATCCAATTAGCCAACATAATGGGCATAGAACTTGCTTTCAATACATTACTTCACATTGGGTACACTAGACTGGTTAGTACAATTAAATACATATGGAGTTTGTGGGGTATATTATGTTTAAATTTTCTAGTACCAGAGAAGAGGTCTTAGCCATAGTTTGTGATCAAAGGTTATCGCTTGCACACATGCAGAAAAAGATTACAAAAAACAAAACATACGTATATTTAGGATGGAAAACGCTATCTTACACAAAGAATAAATTTCTGATTGGAATCAAGGAGATTATGTATAGAAAAAAAATATATTTGTTTTAAAGGAAATTTTTAACCTGTTTTACTATAATCTAATTTTCATTACTGCAGTCCAATGATAAATAATTGCCCCAAAACATTAAGACTGTAGTTATCTGTAACTAATTTTCTTAATTGTTCATTACAGTGATAAATCAAAAAAAAATCAATTTTGTATTTAAATGATTTTACAAAAGGAACAATTTTGAATTAAGAAAAGGGATAAAAAGAACAAAGATATACAACTTTATCTTATTTCTATAAAAGACTATTTGACTTTTAAATTTGAATTTTGTTTGCCAAACAGAAAACAGTATTTGAAATCAAATAATGAAACTAATCACAAAATTAGCTGATCACCATGAGTTAATCATTTCAAAAATGTAAGTTTTGCAGTTGATATATACCCAACTAACTAAATCTAGCTAATGAAGAACTCTTGAACATCTTGTATATTTTTAAATCTTTTTACCAGGGCAGTTAGATGTAAGGTACTTTCCCAAATGATTTTCCCAAGTAGCAACTTCCCAACTGTGCAATTTCCCAAGTGGCAACCTTCCAAGTTTGTCCCAGTCTCATCACTTGCCCCCCCCCAGCCTTGTTCTAACTGCAGATCTTAGCCCCCTAGCCCAACCTAGCCGCGATGCTCAGCCCCCATTGTTGCCTGCAGTGCAACCTAACCTTTTGGAAGTTTCGTCTTGGGAAATTGCACATTTGGGAAATTGTCACTTTGGAAGTCACTCTAAGGAAAATGCCTTAGGGAAAGTACCTAACACCAGCAGTTGAAGAGGTTGGGCATCAAATAGCTTTGATCTCTGTATTTACGGATAACTTATGTAACAACTAACTTTCTGTATTTATTTATCCTTGCTTATAATAAAGTACCTCAGAATTGGTAAGATATTCTGGAATTTTGAATGTGCACTTTTGGCCAATAGGACTGTGTACAACAATGGCAATCCAGTAAAGAAGATGATGAGTGCAAACGATATTAAGACCTGAGTATTAACTCCTTCCTTCCAGAAGTCAACAGCCAAAAATACTATAGCAACCAGAGCCAGGGTATGAACTGAAAACAGAGCAAACAAATATGGTCCAAAACCAGTTTTAAGTTTACGAAACATCTCCAAACGCTTCTGGGCAACCATGAGAGTATTTTTAGGATTGCACTCGAAATTCTCCATCTTTGATATAAATCCAGTGACTACAGTTCCAAACAATACCAAACCAACCAGTGATTTTGAGACAAGACATACTTGAATTACTGTCCAAAGTATGATGATATTTAATCTTCCCTCAAACAATAAATCTACCTAAATGGTCATCAAATAGTGTTGATTATTTCATTTTTTTTATAATTTTCCCTGCTTTTTCTTCATTATGCAAAATATGAGAGAGGCAAAATTATTCAATATTCGAATATTATGAAGCAATTGTCCGAGTTGGGTTCTTGTACTGCATAGTAAGAAAAGCAAATTTCAAATATGCTGTAATTTGCCCTTACAGATTGACAAAATAAAAGTCTAAAAGTCTAATGGCCAATTTTGAAATGCTTTAGTACAGAGTGTCCCTTAAAAAACATTGGAATTCAATGACAAATTTGATATTGTCTTTGTTATAAATTAGCATTGTAATATGTTAGACCTTAGGTCTAATTAAATGATATGTGGTGGGGTTGAAAATGTTTATTGGTAAAAACTTGTTACGGAATATATGGGAGCGTTAGGACTGTGGAGTTAGTTTCTGTAGGAGAGATTTAGGGAGCTTCTCAACTGCTGGTATTGATGAATCTTCAGAACACGGAGCTGTCTGGAGCAGAACTGTAGAAGGCTGCTTCTGTAGGGAGCTGCTTGAAGCTGGTGTAGATGAACCTTTAGAGCTGTCTGGAGCTGAACTGTAGAAGGCTGCTTCTGTAGTGAGCTGCTTGAAGCTGTTGTTGATGAATCTTTAGAGCTGTCTGGAGCTGAACTGTTGAAGGCTGCTGCTGTAGGAGAGCAGCTAGAAGCTCATTAAAATAGAATCCGGGATTTGGATATCTGATTTTAGAGTATCAAAAAAATGCCCTTTTTGTTGGTACAGAATTGATTTGTGAACTCTGGAGCTGGACAAGGGACGGCATCAACTGTCTATATAATGTTTTCAAGATTTCAAGGTTAGATTTCAAGGTGTAGTCTTAACCTTGAGCCTATACGTAAAAATATACAGTAATCACAGGATGTTCACAAAAAATACAAACATATAAATACTTTTTAACTATTCATAAAAGCACAAATATCAATTCTTAAAGAATCTGTTACATTCGTTTGTGAATTTAAAAAAAAAGGAGTTTTAGTTTATGTAAACACCCTTCCCATATACAGAGATAATTGATTTTAACCATGTTTTAACATTCTTTGTTAAAAATACGCACTTTGAACTCCGTTACAATTACCTAATTTTAAAGCCCATAATATTATTATGTCTGCTAGAGTTTATTTTATGAAAAGGGTAAAAGACTGTAATAATGTGTCTATAATGTCTCTGCAAGATGAATAGTGAAAACAGACAAGTTTACTCTATTTGTATACTGCATTTTTCTTGTTTTACTAAGTACAACCGTATGCAGTCAAAACATAAACAAACAAAATGTGATCATAGCAGACGAAACTCTTACAGATTACAGCTTTCTCAGTAGGTATCACTATACTAAATCAAAGAATTGTTTGAAAAGACGATATCGAATTTGTCACTGAATTCCCATGTTTATTGGGACACCCTGTACTTTCAAATGATAAAGTTTATTTTATTACCGTATTTCCTACAAATCCCAGACACACTAAAAAGAATACAACTAGAACCAAGGGTTTTCCAGGAGTCTGGCTTCCTTTGTAACATTCTGTAGCATTCTCCTTCATGTAACCCAGCAGAAAACTCATGGTAACAGATAGAAATTCATAAACAATACAGACAGCTGAATCTATTACATCTCTTGTCTTAGTGTCATTACTCATTCGCATCCAGATATATACACAAGTGCATCCTTAGAACATTAATGAATAAAAAGTTTATGTTAACCACCACACTGTTCTAAAGATTTAAAAACAATAAAGGCACTTATTGATGATCGAATTGGAATTTATGATTTCAAAACATTAAGAATAAACCCGATGCCTATGGTTTCTTTTTAACTTTTTACAAAAATTGGAAGATCTGAAACTTTTTTTGGGGGGGGGCCCCCTCCCCCCCCAAGAAAATAAAAAAATCTGCTACAAATTTTTGATGAAAAATTGCCAATTGCTGCAAATATTAAATTGCAATTGCATATTAGATTGCACACCAAAATTTCCTTAGAATTCTGCAAAATTTTCGACAATTTTTCCATTCCACAGGAAACTCTACAATTTTGCAGAGCCCAGACCGTATCACATCAACATTGATTCATAGATTCAAACTTTAGAATTAAAATGATATTAATAACATCATTCTTGTTCATATGTTTTATTCTTTTAGATTCATTTTCCTAAATGTAGAGCACTAATGAGAACGGCCAGAATTCTTCCAATCCAGGGGGTTCCATAGATAAATCCTGAATACTCCAGGCATGTAATAATCTTGCTCCAGGGTTTGCAAGGTGTGTTGAAGAAATTTCCAACCTTAACCTAGGGAATATCCAGAATCAACCAAATCATGTGTATGCTGCACACACAAAACAAACTGCATCAAAGTTGCATGATCAGATTATTTTCAGTCATATCTTAAGCTTCTGTTCAAATTCCATCAAAAATATCCCAAGAGACTTTTTTTACAAAAATTTTCAAAATACAAAATGGTTTTTAATAGCAAATATGATAACTTGCTTTTTTAACTCGGACCTTTAATTTACCATATTTAGGGAAGGGATTTTGAAGGAAATAATGTGTAAAACTAAACAGAATCACTAAAATCATGTTTACATTAAAGGAAAAACTTTAACTTGATAGAAGGGTAGCCTGTTGAAGAATTTCCAGTAAAAAGGGGAAATTGCTTCACGACAATTTAGAAGTATGATATGATAAATTTTCTGATGCTGAGCTCTCAGACCAGAGAATTCCACAAGTTTTTTTTGCGCAAAAAACTGTTGCAGCAACAGTAATGATTTTTTCCCGAAAATATTTTTTGCAAAATTTTGCATGGTTTCATTTGATGCGCGAAAAACTGCAAAAAAGTTTTCAAAATGAAAATAATTTTTTTGTCACCACAGAAGTTTTCTTTTTCTGGAAAACCTAATCCTGTCTGTATTGGAATATTTTCAGTCAAATTTTAAACTTTGTTCACTAAACTTTTAACCAGGTTCCCTAGTCTATACTGCTTGTAGTTGGAGAGAAGTACCAAGCATTATAGGCTAGGGTTTGACGGATAGGGAGATGAAAAATATAAAACTAAATGTTTTAAATGGAGTTTTTCCAAGGGCGACTTTCCAATTGACAATTTCCCAATTCCCAACATCCCAAAAATTTAATTTCCCAAGCGCCAACTTCTTAAATGGTGGGTTAGGCCTTCAATAACCGCAGGCTTCATTGGGGACAAGTGCTGCCGCTAAAGCAAGCTAGGGGGCTGAGTGCTGTGGTTAGGACAGACGTGGGAAGTTTCCACTTGGGGAATTGCAAATTTGGGAAGTTTCCACTTGGGAAAATACCCGTGGGAAGTTGCTGCTTGGACAAGATGGCTTTGGGAAAGTACCTAACATTATTTAAAATGTCTTAATCATCCTTCTCAACAATAAATATTTTTAAATACTTTGGATCAGGGGTTTCTTTGAATTATATCTTTGTCTTTACTTGAATATTTGCTGCACTAGGTTCCATCATGGTGTTGATGCGATTACTGTAACTATAACTATAACTTTAATATAGTTGTGCATTTCCACCATTAGTAAACATTTTTACATTGTTTAACTTTATTAATAAAAATTGTAAATCAATATGTTTCATATTCCCACCTAGCTGTGTAAAGGTATGAATAATACTACAAAATTTATCAAGGATCAAATTTGAAAAATATGTGTCCCAGTTTCCTCTACATGAGAAGTAGTACGAAATTAAAAAAAAAGGTTTAAATGTCAACTGTGGAAGACGATGCCTGGCCGCGTTAAACTAGTTCCACAAGATTCAACAGAATGAGATAGAACGGATACGGGGCATTAGTACTGATATCATCTCTACAGTCTACACGTGCGATATCGATATTGACTCTAGTTCTGAAGTCCCACGAAACATGATAGTTGGTGAATACTTTAAAATTTCTTCTCCCATAATTTTTTAAGTTGCTGGATACCAATTAGACAATAATAACATAATACAGGGTGTCCCAAAAAACATGGGAATTCAGTAACGAATTCGAAGTCGGCTTTGTATAAGATTTATGATTTAGTATAGCGATACCTACTTATATGAAAGCTGTCATCCCGGTGAATTTTTCGTCTGCTAGAGTTTAAAAATGGTTGTTTGTTTATGTTTTGGTTCAATACGAATGTACTGAATAAAATTAGAAGATTTCGAATAAAGTACACTGTTCATACTGCAGAAATTTTAAAGAAATAAATAATTATTGCAGAAAATATGCGTACAATCAAACAGAAGACCTTGATACGAGGTTTACATGTCTATAAAAGACAAGTAAAGCCAGGAGATATTTTAAGTTGTAAACTTGACCAATTCTGGATGTTGGAAAACCCCAGTCGATACAGCATTGCTGTCTAAGATTCGTTTAACCGAACGGTAAGCATGTCTTTACATTTCCTTAATTCGCCATATTTCTCTTTCTTTATTCCGCCATATTTTCGTCATTTCATTAACCAAATTCCTCGTCTTTTCATTTCCTGTTCTTTAACTTTAATTCTAGTTCCGTTCTTTCATTGAAGAGACTGTAGTGAGGCTTTTAAGTGACCTTTTATTTAAAAAAGAGTGGCATACACGATTCACAACAGTACCCTTTAACTCTTAACTAACAAGGTTTTTAAGGGTACTATTGTTCATTGTGAATCGGAAATGCCACTTTATAAATGGAGACAATTACTTGACAATTACTCAAACCCCTTAAATATTTCTTTTTGTATTATTAAAAATTCTTACTTCTTTTCCATTTCTTCAATTTCATACTGTAATTTTCATATTAGGTTGGACATATTGCCAAAGAATGGGAATATTCCTTGGGCCCTTTAATCGAGTTTAAAAGAAAGGAGGTGGAGGTTAGAATTCCTCCAGAGGCCAAAATTCACAACTTTGGCGAGGGACCCCAAATTGGTAAGTTTTTTATTTTACTTGATTGCATTGAAACCTTTCATTGTTATTGAATTTCCTTTTTAGAATGCGAGATAAGCTTCCCGTTTGACAAGAACCTAGATTTTGTCTGGCTAAGAGTGTACAGGGAGGAGGTTCGGAAGCAAGGAGGAATAATCCTAGGAGTGAGGACTAAATTCATTTTTGACCAAAATCTACTTATTTAAACAATTGATGTAAACAACTATTTTTTATTTAAACAATAAATTTACAATATAGTTTTATGCATTCTTTATCTCAATAATTCAAAATGGCCCCCTATTTGCTCCATGCACATCTGTGCACGTCTCCGCACACTGACGTGACATCTTTTAATCAGCTCTGGATCTCTGTTAAGTTGATCTACCACCTCTGTGATTCGCTCTTCAAGTTCGTCCAAGGAGATGGGGAGAGGACTGGTGAAGACCATCCTTTTCATTATGGACCAGATTCTAAAGTCCAGGAAACTCAAGTCCGGGCTCCGTGGAGCCGAGCTGTGGCCCCTGAGACCTCTAAGGTCAGCACCAAGGCCAAGAACTCGACCATCAAATTGATGGTCTAGGTATTCCATGAATCTAGGATTTCTGTGGATGGTAGCACCGTCCTGTTGCCAAATTATTCCTACGTTAAAACCATATTTAGATTTTTTAAAAGATCATAAGAAACTTTGAAGTTTTAAAGTAAATTTTTGGTAATCATAAATGTAAATTTTTGGTAATCATTACAGTTAATTTGGTGTGTTTTAATTCTTTAAAGGCTAACTAAAAAAAGACCCCACCCCCCTTATAGAAACAGCTCATTTTTAAACACTTAAAAGAACAGTAGACATAATTTTAAGCATGGCTAAACCAGAAGGTACGTTGAAATTACGAAACTGGTCAAAGAAAATTGAGCCAATACATATTTTTCCTGTGGGGCCCTACTAAAGAAACCAAACAGCTCGATATAAAATGGAATACCGTCTGCAAAGCATGTATAATCATATGGTAGGGCGAACCGCGTCAGTTGTCTCTCCCTTCTATTCCTTGCTCCCTGGTTAAGACACAGAATAATTACAGCATTTTATTAAAGTTTACGTAAAATATACTCTAGCAGACGAAATTACATAATATGTCTTTACATCAGGTATTACAATACTGATCCTTAAAAAAGACGACATTGAATTCGTCACTGAATTCCCATGTTTTTTGGGACACCCTGTATATGGGAGTCATATTATAGTAAAATTGATTTCAAAGTAAATGTTACGCGACCATTTGTGCGTGCACCTAGTAGAAGAATGTGTGATGAAACCACCCTGTGAAATAAGCTGTTCTGCCCTAAAGTGGTTAAATACTAAAGTGGACCAAACTCCTAGTTGGATGACGACATTTTATGTCCCAAGTATTTAAAAATATTATATATGAGAACTTNNACAAGTCAATGGGGATGATTTCATTTTTCCAATCTTGTTTAACACTATTGTTGAGAAAAATCTTTTTGCATCCAAATTTTCCCCCAGGGCAGGAGTGTTGCGTTCACCTGCAATCTACATGATTAACCATAATAACGATATCTTTGTTCAGGTGAAGAAGGGAGAGAGCGTGGGGAAGTTGGTCAGCCTGTCAGTGAAGTACGAGAGCAGGCAGCCCGCTACCAGAGCAAGCGAGGCACAGGAGTGAACCAGTTGTTGTTTGTGGGAATCCTGGCAATACTGGGAGTACAGGTTATGGCCAAGGACGAGTACAAGGTGGAGGCCTATGACTGCTCCCAGCCTATGAATATCAAGATGTTCACCTGAGAGGCCCACTGCAGGTTCAACCCAGAGGTAGAAGGAGTGCCGGAGAAGGTTACAATTCTCCAACATGTGAGTACACAGACGGTAGCAGGATACAAGTGTCAAGTATCCTCTCATCGCAACATGTATTACTGTGGAATGTTCAGCTATTCAAAACCTATTTTGAGTGCTGAACAGGAGCAAACATTAGTGATAACAGCTCAATCTTGCGCTGAAATGGCACGTACTCGCCAGTTTGTTACTCCCCAGGGACGGAAGACAGAGTCAGTAGTAGTTCCTGGACGTACCTATATAATGGAGTTCTCCTCTGGTTTCCAAACTACCTCAAACTCAGAGATAAGGTGTCAAGGTAAAGATATACTAGTGGATGGCTCGATCCAGAAGGGCATCGTAACCCACATGGAATATGTGGTTACGATCGAGACGGAGATGTTTACGGTAGAAGGATCAGAGATCAGAGCTATGTCATCATCGGAGCGCCTAGCTTGCAACCCGAGAGGTCCATCACTAGGATGTGTAGGTGCTCTACACACTTATACCTGGGACCAGCCTGCGGATAGCTGCACATATAAGGAGATAAGAGAAGTGCAAGGATTACTAGCCTCAGAGTACTTTGCATCCACTGAAAACGAACTTTTCTATGAATTAAAAGGGGGTTATGCTCTGCCCATACCCTGCGGAGGATATAAAGCATTTTCCACAAATGTGAAAGACATTGTATTAGTGAGAACGTCTGATATGACTGAAGATTCCAAAATAGCGAAAATCAGGGCTCAAGATGTAAGTTATGCAGCAGAAATAAGGTCTCTGTCATTATTTCTAAGGTTCAAACTTGATGTTATTGAAGGAAGAAAAGAAGCACTAGGAAAGTCTGTTGTATGTGCTCTGAACGTGAAAGAACCTGGTCTAGCCTCACCTCACAGAGTGGAGAATGATAAGTTCCTATTCCGTAGATCAGATGTTATTTATCAATATACTTGTAAAAAAGTAATCGTGGAGTTAATAGATTCGGACCGATGCTACCAAGGAGCTCCTATAAAACCCGTGGGAAAGTTTAAATTTATAAATCTGGCTAATAGAATGTTGCAACAGGACTCGGCCAAAGAGCCATGTGTTGAGAATTTCCCACAGGTTTTAAAAGGAATAGACAGTTGGATAAGATTCGGTCCAAAAGTGAAAGCAGTTGCTCCGCCCAGGTCGGAGGAGCATGGGAATCTTGTTCTATCTCATCACGCTGACGAAGTTGGATTGTACACGGAACAAGAAGAGCGTGATTTTGAGCATGTGAGCACCTTACTGCATTACAAGGAACAAGTAACAGGTACCCTTGTACATGCAGTATGCTCGCAGGACGATGAATGTGATTTAAATCCCTTACCAGGAAGTCCATCATACTCACTATCCAAACTGGAGAAAGAGACTGTTGAATTTGTGGAATTAGGACCATGGGATTATTTTCTAGTGAAAATCCTAGGACCTATTTGGATGGGAGTATCATTCGTAGGAATATGTGGGGGATTGATCACGGCATTCCAACACGGAGCATGGGCTGCTAGATCCGGAGTACGAGTGTGCAAATCTTGCAAGAAGACTCAATCTGATGAAGAACTAAGGACAGCTCATTTACTAATGGAGCTCATGGGAGATTCTCAGTCCATGCCAATGAATAACAGGAGAGCCCCACCCCCAGATGTAAGATATACCTCCAGATTCGGGAACAAAGAGGAGAAGGTAGAGATAACAGAGCTACCTCGTATCTGATCGCAGAAAAGATCAGCGGGGCATGTAGCAGGAAAATGAGGGAATGATCTTTCCTGCGAACATAAATAGTATTTTTTCCTTCTTTCCGTCATTTTTAGTTTCTCCCCCCCACCCCTTCTCCCATCCCTCGTCAGAGCTAACGGATTTATTCTTGTTTGTGTTTGAATTCTATAAATAACCCAAGCCACTCGGAGAAACCGTTATCCCAGAAACCGGGGGCTGGTGGGTTAGCCGGCCAGCTCACTGTAAGAGTAGGGTTAAATGCGAATCCAGGGTGGAGCGAAATCTGGGGAAAAAGCATCAGTTGATCATCAGCTCCCTTAAACTGAGGTTTCCTTGAAGATTCCCCATCACCCTGAAACTGTTTCAATTCACAATATCTGATTAGTATAGTATCAATCGTATATTTTTTGTATCTTTGTAAATAATAAAGTATAAGAAAAACCGACTCGTCGAATATATTATTTACAAGTGTTTGCATTGAGTATTTTTCTTTCATATACAATAGTAAATAATGCTTCTTTTTTTTAGACTTTTTGAACGCGGAGAAAGAACGAAGAACAAAAGCTTTGGCATGTAAAGTCAATATCCTGAAGAAGTGCCAGGGTATTTATTTCATCAACATTTTAAAACTGTTCTTACATTTTTTTTAAATTTTCTCCTTGGCCTTAGATTCTCATACCACTGTTGTTACATTATCTTATATCTGTCCTTATATTATCCCTGTCCTTTCACCCTCTTATCCTTGTTCTTACATAATCACATACCTGTTCTTGCGTTTTCTTATATTCGGCCTTATATTAACTTATCCTTGTTCATAAACTTATTCCCGTCCCTACATTTGCTTATATCCGACCTTATATTATCCTTACATTCTCATATCCCCGTCCATACATTATCTTATTTCCATGCCCCATTCTCAATTAGTTTTATCCCTGTTCTTATCTCTTTATCCTTACATCCTTACATACACCTATCCCATTCTCATACTCCGGTCATTATGCTATTTTATCTTGTCCTTACATTCTCTTATGTGTGTCCATATATTATCGAATCTCTGTCACATTCTCTTATCCCCATCCTTACATTCTCATATCCACTTCCTTATATTCGGTTATATCCATCATCATATTCTGGTACATCATTCCTTATATTCCTCTACATCCGTCATTATATCTTATCCTTATATTCTCTTATATCTGTCATAGTATTACTATTATCTCATCAATGTCCTCATCTCATATCAGTGTCCTTACTTTTTCAAATTCCTTACCTTAATTCTTCTAACATCTGTCCGTATTTGACTGAATCTCTTTCTTTACACTCTTTTATCCGTGTCCTTACACTCTCATATCCCCGTCCTTCCATTTAAATATCCCTGTCCTTACACTCTCATATCCCCGTCCTTAATATCCCCGTCCTTCCATCGAAATATCCACGTCCTTTCACTCTCATATCACTGTCCTTACACTCTCATATACCCGTCCTTTCACTCTCATATCCCCGTCCTTACACTCTCATATCCCCGTCCTTTTACTCTTATATCCCCGTCCGTTCACTCTCATATCCCCGTCCTTTCACTCTCATATCCCCGTCCTTTCACTCTCATATCCCCGTCCTTTCACTCTCATATCCCTGTCCTTTCACTCTCATATCCCCGTCCTTTCACTCTCATTTCCCCGTCCTTTCACTCTCATATCC